CTCCCGCTGCTTCGTAGGCGGTGCATGCATGAATGGATTCGTTAATTAATACTGTAGGAGCCATAAATGTAAGTTGATTGTGTATTTGGTGTCATGGGTTGTTTACCAATTTGTTTATTGTTTATTGTTTACTTGTTACTGGTGGCGGGTGTGTTCACCGGAAATCTCGTGGTGATGGCAGTGATTATATGGGCCGCACTCACCTGTTCACCTGGTTTTTTGGCTTGGATGGAGAGAGGTTGTTGTAGTATCCTGTGTTGTTTTTGGAAGAATAAATGACTAAAGCATCTTGGATCTGGAAGTCATTTATGACGACAGCGCGTCACAGCTCCACTCCCGTGTTCAGTCCCTCATGGCACTCTTTTTTTGACGACCTGCAAAGGCCGATATAGCCGCAATAAATACTGATGGACACTTTACATATAGAAGCTTCTGCCATCAGTGTGTGAATGGATATGAATGAGTAGGTGTGACCTGTGATGAAAAAGAGCTTTGAGTAGAGAGAAGACCAGAAAATCGCTTTACAAGCTCAGGTTCATGTATCATTTACCAGGTTCATTAAGTCTTTGTTTGTTTGTTTGTTTGTTTGGTATCGCCCTGATGACAGTAAAGTATTTTCATAAACATATCCGTGCTGAAGCTCATATCAAAGCACATCTATGCTTACTAGGAATAGTGCAAACCCACAAGGAAACCTCTTTTTTTTCATATTTATGATTGACATAAATGTTGGACTGAATGTATTGATTACATTTTGATGTAGTTTCACTATAGGATCGATTACTAGCCCCCTAGTGGCCTGCCATCGACCATGGCACATACCACTGAACTAATTACACATGCCACTAAGGACTACCAAAATGCCTCTGAACTACCTGCATATGCCAACTCCTCCCCAAGTGGCATACCAGATGCTACTTTTCCCATCTTGGCGCTGCTGAGTTCTTTATAACTACTAGCTACTTGGAAAGCCACAAAAGGTGTCTATTGCTCCCAGAGGTTATATCCCTGCACACAACAGTCGGTCGTTGGAAATGTATGGTTGACAACCCAACACTAAGATACTTTTTTTTGTATGCATGTGTTCTATATCTCTTTGTATTTCAAATTAAAGTACACCTACTGTTTCAGCAACCTCTGCCTTTTGGTCTCATTATGCGGATTTCCAATCTGATATCACATCTTCTCTTCGGCAGCATGCAGGCGACAAAAACAAATCCTTACTTTCAAAAACACTAGCAGCATTATGTAACAATCCTTCTCAAGTATTCTGCGAGCTCAAATGTGTCCCTGGTAACAATCACTATAGCACCACCACAGGAAGGACAGGATTGCATAACGACAAACTCAATGCCTTCAAACATAGCAGATCTAAAGATTCACATATTTTATAAAGAGAACAAGTGAAACTGTTCATAACAGATAAGATGAATAGTTGTGTTTCTGAATGGATCAATGTGTCTTAAAGTTCATAACATGTATCTGATGATGACTTGTGATGTTGCTGCTGGTAAGATAATAAGCAAAACTTGTAGTTTGTATGTTAGTGTAATGGAGGGCCTTGGTGATGATTCTAAAACACTGAGCGAGTGTTAAGATTGCAGGGACGGGCTTTTCTATGTGGAATGAAACACCCGGCTCACACACTGGACAAAATAGAATAACAACAAAAAATAATTATTATTTCTGTTATTATTCTCTTTTGTCCGTTTTAAAACAGGCTATCAACTTTCAATTCCAAAGACTTGCATATTTAAGGAATCTAAATGTCTTTTTCTTCTTTTATTTCAGCTGCCTCAGTTTCTTTTTACCTGAACCATTGTTTCATAGCGCCTACACACGGTGTGTATCAGACCTCTTACATTTAAAGATGAAAATATCTAGTGTGATGATATCCTCAGCAAAAACAGAAAAAGCTTCACTAGAACAACAGCAGTTATATTGCCAATATCGTATATATGTTGCTTGACTGTGACCCTTTTTTGCCTCCATGAGCAATGTTATTCTAAACTAGTCACGTGTTCATTTATACGTACAAGAAGTCAAGAAAATTGGGGCGCTGGTGGCGCAGTGGTTAATGTGCGTCCACGTATGGAGGCTGTAGTCCTCCAAGTGGGCGGCCCAGGTTCAAATCCAATCTGTGGCTCCTTTCCCGCATGTCATTTCCCACTCTCCTTCCCTGATTTCCAACTCTATCCATTATCCTATCTCTACAATAAAGGCATAAACATGAATCTTAAAAAAAAGAAAAGAAGAAGTCAAGATAAAAGATGAGGTAACTTTATTGATCATACATTAGGGGAAATTTAGCAGCTCAAAAAAGAGGAATTAGAATCATTAAAAAGTTTAAAACAAACATATTCACAGTAATTACATATGAGAAGAAAGATACGAAAAAAAGGCCAACTAGGAATTATTCTATTATTGTCGTATCTTCTTCTAAAAATCAACGACTAATCAATCAACCAATAACTTTGTGATAAGCACATTAATCCCTGAGGAAGGAACCTGCAGTCTTTGCTAACAACCAACAAAAACTGTGAATCTCATGAAGCTGGGAAACAGAGTGCACTAAGAGCCATTTCTCCATGTTTGCATTTTTGCGGTGAGTGTTTGTGCTAATAAGATAAAGACAAAGAAACATGAACACTTTAACCGTTTTCATTTTCTCTGCATACTTTAATCTAATTGCATAATGTTGTACACACGTCACTCTCGTGCATAATAAACAAAAAGGCCACACATAAACAGTGAGAAGTTTGACCACTGCTTCCTCTGTGGCTCATTAAAGAACTTGATGACAGGGCTGGTGTGCGGACCACAGCTTCACTTCTGTTTGACTGTGTCATTACTTTTCTTGTACAGCGACTGGACAATCCATCGCTATTTTTAGTAATCTTCTTTTTTAGATGCAATGACAGGAAATGAAGCATTTTAAATATCTTATGTAATTCATTTGTTTTTTTTAAAGTAAAAGCTTTGAAAAAATGATTATTTCAGAGGAAGTTATATTACCCAAACTGGTCAACACAGTGCAGTAAAACTGAATACCATGAAATCCTTTATGTTAATCTGTAACACGTAAATTGCTGGAAACAAAGAGATCCCTCTACATGTCTGAACACAGACGCGCAACCACACTCATGCAAACAGTCACTTCCTCTTCATGTGGGCCAGCACACGCTGTGCCTCACATGTTTAGGCACACGCAAGTCCTTGATATAGCTGCACGTTACAAGGTCAGAAGACACAAGATCGGACACAGATACTTTACACTTGACATTTTTCCAACCAAACTTTAAAAAATACTCCACTTTGAGAAACTTGCATTTTACTTTGTAAGTGTTTTGCTGTTTTATAATTCTGCTCTGATACATTTTAACAGCAGATTATCAGTGGCAAGGGAAACCTGCCTTTAACCTATCCATATACTGTACCTACGAGACAAGGGAGCTCAGGAACTCCTTAGAAACTTGAATGTTAATGAATATTTAACTTAATGACATGCAGTAATAACATATGACTGCATACAGGTAGAGAGAGAGAGAGAGAGAGAGAGAGAGAGAGAGAGAGAGAGAGAGAGAGAGAGAGGGAGGAGCTCAGAATGAAAACTATGACTTTCATCTGCTTTAAAAACCTACATTGCAAAGACCCCTAGATTGATAAAAAATAAAAGGAAACCAGTAACTAAGCAAATAATAAGTCTGTAAGGGGGCGGCTGTGGCTCAGTTGGTGGAGTTGGTCATCTCTCATCAGGGAGGTCGGGGTTTGATCCCCAGCTCCTGCATCAACATGCCCAATGTGCACCAAGTTGCTCCCACTGCTTCGGCGGCAGCAGAGTATACATGTGTCTGAATGGGATGGTCACTTTACACAGAAACCTCTTCCATCAGTGTGTGAATGGGCATGAGGAGACATGTGGTGTATAAGCGCTTTGAATGTCAAAGTAAGACTAGCAAAGTCCATTTACCATTTAAGCTGTACAAAAGGAATACTATCCACTCTTTATTAACAGAAAGGGAAGGAAAAGTTAAAAGGAAAGCAGTAGCCTCTAATCAAAGATAGAGCGCCCTCTATTGGTGATTATTTAATAGTCTGGGGCCTTATTTTTATAATGAGATTCTGCAGCAACTTTGTGGAAGTCTGCAAGTCCATTACTTTTATTGTATAAATCAATTGGCCCATTTTTAAGAATAAAGTCAGTTATTTAAGGGATTTGCTACTACTTACTGTGTACTTGGATATTTTATATTGAAGAGCAACTCTTAAATGATCATTCTCATTAACGTTCTGACCATGAAGCGCAAATGACAGCTTGTCCCAATTTTACACAACATTCCCACTGTATGCACATTTCATTTACAGACTAATATTGATTGTGCAGTAGATATGCACACAGCATACCGATATGTTTTTACAAAGTAAGGTGTCACACTTGGCTGACAAGATAAACCTTATAAGCGCATACTAGACCAACACTCCTAGTGTCTATTAAGAATGACAGTTTGTACAATTGCTCCAGGTAATTTACCCCCCTTCACTACATCACTGTTTTATTAAAGCTAATTATGAAAAATATATCCTCCAAGGAACCTGCAAGTGAAGGCTTTTAAGTGACTTTTTCATCATTTGTAGTGGGTTTCATTTCCAGTGGCATCACTTTCACTAAATTAATCTTTTGAATTTTATGTCAAAAAAAGTGTAAATAAATGTATATTTAGTCCACCAGAGGCAGCAAGCAACCACTTTCATAATTTAAAACTGCAAAAAATATTTAGATGCAGTTGAAGTAGCCAAGACATAAATGAGTAGCATAAAAATAAATAATTTGATTTAACCTATATCTATTTACGCTATACTACTTCATACCAGGATCGTGCATACTTAGGTAAGCATTGCCTCTGTGTTGTTGGATTTTTTATTCCAGCCTAAAGATAGTGAATCTATATTTTGTTGGTGTACAAAATGTGTATTTCAAATGAAGGGAATATGACACGAAATAAATTATGTTTCCTTTTAATCATCATTGGTGAATGTGGTTTATAGACTTCTGCTGTGGGTCACCTCATGTACTTTTACAACACAGTTTACAGAGAACTATTTTTTTATTTCCATGCACCAGAAAAAGTCCCTGAAATAATTTATGTACAGAACAATAACCTAAAACACACCAGTCTTTGATACATCACACTCTCATCCCCATTGTAGTGTTCCTTCATGCATTTGCCATCACTTAATAATCTTTCATAATAACTTTAAGGCACACATAGATAAAGATTAACAGATCTCATTCTGTATATAATATATATCTCATAGAAAACACCTTACTGTAATTCAACCAACAAACCCTAATCTTCAGCACTTTGTCCTTTTTTTTTTTGACAAACACAAGCTCTTAAAATGCAATGATCTATCTATCAGTGTTGGAGCACATTTGGTTTAAAAATGATCCCAAGAACCAGAGAGGATGCAAACAAGGCACCAAAGCTGGAGTGTTTTATGGCACCGTTTCTTCCAGTAAAGGCTGAAGTGGATACTCCTGAAACAGCAAAGCTTTCAGATGGTGTTAACCTCCAGGGCTCAATTTGTTCTGTAGCGAGAGGGGAGAAATGGGTTAAAATACCACCAACTAAAAATCAAACGCAGAAAACATTTGATGTATATATTTAGTCGTACCTTCTTGGCGTTGTCCACACATTGCATGTAGGCTGAGGCAATGCTGGAGCAGGACAGAGTCTTTCCTGTGTTCTCCTTGTAGCATTTTAAAATCTGACTCTGCAGGTCTCCACACACTGGCTGGATGTTAAAACGACTGAGAGAAGAACATAGACATTTTAATATAAGAAAGAAAAAACATTTTGACCAACATTAGCTTTTAATGGAAGTCAAGTCTTTAGGTGTTTTCAGACCAAACAGTTCTGGGACTTTTAAGTCCCCACCAGGGAGTTCCCTGAGAACTAAACACTAAAATGACTTTTTTTTGTCTGCATTTATACCACCATGGTGACGGCCCATATGAAACTTAAAGTGACGCACGCCAGCCAACAGTTTCTAGAGCAGTGTCACAGAGGAAAAGGAAAACACATTTCTGGGGTCCAAAAACACATTTTGTGTCCTTGCACCACGTGTCAGTACACTCTGCTATCCAAATTACTTAAACTCACAAATGTATTGTCATATCATTGACACTAGATTACGAAGAAAGGCAAACGTGCAGATAATTATTGCATCTATACAAACACAGTGACTCTTAACTTACTTAAAACGGTTGTTGGTCTCCTCTTTGCCTTTCTGGAAACTCTCAGCAGTCACTTTATAGAATTCACTGCACTGAAAACACAAAGGTCGAGGTCAAAATACATCAGCAGCATTATACAGTCAAGCTGTTACTGTTAAAGAAACACTGAGATGAGTTACTTGTGTTTAAGTTTACAAAAAAAAACCACACCTTAAAAAGGCAGAAAAGAAACAATTGATCAATCATACTCTTACCGTCACAAATGGAGCTCCACAAGGACATAATCTAATCCATTCAAACAGGTTTGTAGTTATTTTAATTTGATAGAAATCTGTATATGTGTAAGTCACTTGAACAATCTGTAGGCACTTTCAGCCTTTCTGTACTTAACCAATTAGAACCAAATATTCTTAAACAACACCCTGATTAAAAAAAAAAAACAGATTTATTTCAGTTGAGTGGAGCTACATTTTCTTGTTAAAAAGACAAGATTGATTCATAAGAAATGTAATGTACAGAGGCCCAGTTTAGCTCCCTGGGATTCTCTCTGCGACAGAGATTAGTACCTTAGATTAGCTCATGTTGGTCAATTCTACATGACTTTATAACTTGTTACTACTCGTGCTATATTACTTTAAGTGTTAGAATTTACAACTGCCCTGAAATGGTCATTTATGGCCAATATTATCTTTAATACAGGCACACTTTGGAACAACAGTAACTGAATTGCTCACCTTTTTTTCAAGTTTGGCAACATGTTCCTTGTAGAGAGTGTTTCGTTTCTTTAAATCTTTCTCCCTCTCGTCCAGCTGATGAGCCTGTGTGGGTTTAAAATTCATAAAATCACATCATCACACTCCTAAATCCGGCCTTATCCATGCCAGTGCTTCATTTCATTGTTAAAATTGTATGGACCGTGACACCAAATCTCTACAAATTACTTGTTTTCTTTTTTCAACGACACACGCTCAGCTCACGATGATTAGAGCAGGAGGAAGATGAAAAAGTGAGGCATGCATGTATAAATCCTTTCCCATCTTACCTTCACCTCCATCCACTGAAAACAAGGCGAGGGAGCAAAGAAAGAAAAAGAGCCACATTAAGAGGAGTAAAGAGTTTCATGTTCTAAAGAGAGATCCTGACACATGTACAGCTAATTCCTGTTATGCTGTTCTTACATAAAGTTGCACCATGAGCCTCTGATCTTCTGTTTTCATCCGCTCCTTCATGATGGCCTCCTTCAGGTTCTCCATGTTAGCAGACTTCTCCCCGTCCAGCGTCTTCTTCACCTGCTCCTCCACCTGAGCCTGAGCTGCTGCGGCGGCATCCAATGCAGCCTGAGCCCTCAGCTCCTCCAGTCTTTACACACACACACACACACACAGTCAGTGACAGAAATCAAGACACTGAAAATTCATCCTTTCTTTTTAGATTAAACTTTCCAAAATTGTTTTTTTTTTTTTTTTTAAAGTTTCCTAGTTGAGAATACTTGTTAGTGAAATAACTGTAATCTGTAAAACTAAACTGTGGGTTGTAAAATATTCCACACAAAGAAATCTACAGAGGGATTAGGCAGTTTAATTGATAATTAAATGATCACTACTTCCAGCATCACTTTTAAGCAGTGTTTTTTTTTTTTTTTTACATTTTCCGACCAGATTTACATTTTCTTTTATTTGTTATTGGCCAGGTATGCTTACACACACAAGGAATTGATCTTCGGTGAACTGTGCTCTCTTTGTACAAAAGGTATAGCAATATATATCAACAATAAACACAAAATAAGCAAAGACTTATATGTACTAGACTAAATAAGATAAGATAATAGTGCAGTGGTGAGTAGTGCAAAAGATGCTGAAGTAACATGATAATATAAAAATTTTAATTATGTGACAGATGGGTTAATTTACATGAGGTAGAGTTTTACAGTATTTACATTAAAGGTGTGCATAGATTGATAATTTAAATGATATATATATATATATATACACACACAGTATATGTGTACATTCACAGTGACAGTTTGAGTCCAGGGTTAGTCCACAAGTCAGACAGGTCTGACACTCTGATTGTTTAGTGTTCATCAGAGTGACAGCCTGGGGGAAGAAACTGTTCTTATGACAGGTTGTTTTCTGCAACGCCTGCCGGAGAGGAGGAGTTTGCTACGCCGAGTATTTGGACTTTTACATTGATAGGTTATCTTGACTTATTGTATCTCATCAGACATAGACACACACATTCCCACACATAATACGATATGGCAGATACTTGTTTCAGTTTTTAATCCTTACTGTCGCTGCAGCTCCATCCTCCTCAGGTTGATTTCCTCCTCCAGACTCCTCTGCATCTCCTCTTTGATCTTCTGCCGCATTCCTTCCTCCACCTCTTCAGGAGACGCAGACAAAGCTACACCCACAAATTAACACATTTGTTAAGAACACAGCATTATTTCAAAGTGCTGCTATACTCAGTGATCAGTTTACCTGCTGCGGCTGGAGGCACGGAGGCGACAGCAGGTGCTTCATCCTCGACGACAGGCAGAAGAGACCGGGTCACTGTTGGCACCTCAGCAGGTGGAGCTGGATCAGGTGGAGGTGGCGCTTGAGGTTCTACAAACGGTTCACTTACAGGGGCATCAGCAGGTACAAGGGCCAGCTCCAAAGAGTGACAGGGTGGAGGTGTGAACTCTGGAGCAGCAGGGGATGGTGCGGGGACTGGTTCTGGTTCACTTGGCGGTGGTGCATCTACAGCCGGGACCACAAATGGAGGCACTTCTTCAACCGCAAAAAGTGTCACTTCGGGCTCCCCAAGGTTAATGTCCTCTGGTGGGGGTAAAACTACCACCTCAACTGGAGCTGTATCAACAGGAGAAGGTGGAGTTATTGGTTCAGATGGTGTGAATTCAACAGTAGGTGGAGGTTGGACTTTTTCCTCTGGTGGCGTCAACAGAACAACAGGTTCAACAGGTGCGACAGAAGAAGCTGCTGCAACGGGTTCTATAAAAGCTGGAGATGTTGGTTTCTCTATTTCAGAGGCAGAGATGGAACTGAAGGTTTGGGTGGAGCTAAATCAACTGGAGACGTCTCAACAGGTGGAGGTAGGACAACAGACTCAACAGAGGGAGCTACAACTGGGTCGAAAGCATTCGGAGGTGTTGGCGTCACAAGGTCAGAAGGCAGAGATGGAGCTAAAGCTTCAGGTGGAGCTACAGAGACTGGTAGGGACTCCACAGGTGGAGGAAGGACGAGAGGTTCAATAACAGTAGGTGGTGTTGGTTCAGAGGGTAGAGATGGCGCTGAAGCTTCAGGTGGAGAAACAATGACTGGTAGGGACTCCACAGGTGGAGGAAGGACGAGAGGTTCAATAACAGTAGGTGGTGTTGGTTCAGAAGGTAGAGATGGAGCTAAAGGTTCAGGTGGAGATACAGATGTAAGAAGGGACTCCACAGGTGGAGGTAAGACTGCAGGTTCAACAGAGGGAGCTACAACTTGTTCGAAAACAGTTGGAGGTTCAGCTGGAGTTGCAGTGGCTTGGAGCGGGGAAACGAGTTCAACAGAGGGAGCTTCAACAGGTTTGATAACGGTTGGAGGTGTTTCTTTAACAATTTCAGGGTGTAGAGATGTAGTGAAAGGTTCGGGTGAAGTTACAGCCACAGGGAATGTATCCACAGGTGGAGGTACGTTAACTGGAGGAACTATTGGTTCTGTTATTATTGGTGCAGGTGGTGCTTCTGGTTCAACATGAGGTGGGATGGAGGATTCAACAGAAAGCAGGACTTTTGGCTCCACTACAGAGGGTGGAGGCTCCACAGGTACTTCTACTTGTGGAGTAAGTAGCGATGGAGGTGGAGAAAGTGCTGAGACAACAGGGTCGGTCGCAGGAGGACATTTTGGTTCTGCAGGTGGAGGCGGGGCTTCCACCTCTAGGGAAGTAGGTGGCGGAAGAGTGTGAAACGTGACAGGTGGAGGAGGGACGAGTTTCACAGGAAAGGCAGATTCCACCGACGGAGGCAAGGATGGGGCTTCCTGAGGAGGTGGAGCAGCAATGAATGGAGGCGGTGGTGTCAGGATAGGTAGCGGGGTTTCAACAGAAGGGGCGGGGACTGGGGTGGATGTTTGTGTTACATGTGGAGGAGGAGGACTTTCATTCTGTGAGTGAGGAAAGGCGACCTTTGACGACTGCTTCATCCTGTTGATGACTTTGTCCGACAGCTGACGAGAGAAGAGAAACACTCGTTAAAGAACTCCACCTGCACCTCTTGGAATAAAGAGTACCTCAACAAAAGTAAGAACACAACATGAAGTTAAAATACTTTCATTCATTTCTTAAGGACAAGATCTAAAAAGTATAATAAAGGAAAATACACTTTAACATAATAATAACAATAACTCTACGCCCCAGCATCCTTTAAAAGTTATGTTATTCTACTTTTCAACAAGTCTCAGAGCTCCCCAAAACATGTCTGCAGGAGCCATCAATGTAAGTTGATTGTGTATTTGGTGTCATGGGTTGTTTCCTAATTTGTTTATTGTTTACTTGTTACTGGTGGTGGGTGTGTTCACTGGAAATCTCGTGGTGATGGCAGTGATTAATATGGGCCGCACTCACCTGTTCACCTGTTTTTTTTGGCTTGGATGGAGAGAGGGGGTGAGCGTGGGAAGAGACAATTTCTATTGACCGCCACACTACACCGCACTGCGATCGCAAATTTATTTGATGATCCGAAAACAGCGTTTGTAGTATCTTGTTTTGTTTTGGAAGAATAAATGACTAACGTATCTTGGATCTGGAAGTCATTTATAACCACAGCGTGTCACAGCTCTACTCCCGTGTTCAGTCCCTCGCGGCAAACTTTTTTTGATGACCTGCAAAAGGCCGATAAAGCCGCAATAATGTCTATGAAGTGTCTTGTTAAAAATCCACTCTAATCCTGTATTTAATCGTGCCTATAAACGCCTCTATTTCAGTCCTGCTCAGAACGGACTGTATGCATTCATGTGCTGCTCGGGTGGTCCAACTTTCCGAGATGGGAAGTCGTTCTTCCGCTTTCAGTGTGTTCATGTGATTTCAGTTCAGAAATTCGGAATGTTGTAACAACAGCAACAAAAAAAAAACATTTAGTGACGATTCTGACGTTAAGTTGGGCACTTAATTCTTTTCTGAGTTTCCAGGTTGATGTTCTGACTTGAGCAGGTGTGCATGTGCATTTCACAACTCGGGAAGATCGTTTGTCCGATGTGTCCGACACCACACGAATTGCACCATAACTTGGACCATGCTTTGATTTTCTGCAGTGGAAAATCGAACTCAGAGGGTAGAACAAACACGCAAATGAAAATTGACTACATAATATTAATAATAAGAATTATTATAATTATCATCTTAATGCTAGACAGCTACGTCAAAAGGACAATCAATGTTTTTTTATAAAATAGAAAGTGCCAAATTATCAAAATACTTTTCTTTAATGACTTGAGTCATAATTATGAAAATGGGATATTCTCAGATTTATTTTACTTTAATAATGAGACTGCATCTATATATAGAGAGATATTTTTATATAGTCATGATATAATAGATTATTTTGTATTTTCTTATTGTTTGCTTTTTGAGTAAGGGGCAGGCAAAACAAGAATTATTCTTCTCCCTTTTTTCCTTTGTCCTTTTCTGTTGTGTGTTTTGACATGTACAGAACAAATAAAGAAAATGAAATGAAATGAAATTTCCCACACTGTTTGTCACACTACAACTGACCACTGTCCTTCTGTAGGCCATATTTCACAGCCACAGGGAGCAGTGCACTGACCTGATGTTTGGTGAACACAAACATGGGGAGGAGACAAACACTGAACATAACTCAGACACTCAGAACAATGTTTAAAACATCTCCAGAGAAGAAGATGATATAATAACTCTTGTGCACGCACGGGGGGGAGGGGAGGGGGGGAACAAATGCACGTTTGGAGACACTTTGCACAATGAATCCTTTGAACACTTTCTCACTGTTTAAATGAATTCCCAATCTCCCGGAGCTTCCACTCACCCGAATGCCCTTCACAAACGTAACTCCCCCACCTGCTCCCTCCTCGTGGGAGAAGTGACTCGGGCTGTTTCCCCCCATCCTTGCAGCTACACGCCACGACCAGCTCTGTGACTTCACTGGAGATGTTTTAATCCACAAAGCGTGGATTTAATACTGCTCACTTGGGATCTACTCGTGCTGCTGCAACTATCTGCCACTCCCACCGCTATGTGCCAACAGCAGCAGCAGCTATTGGATGGATCCTTACAAGGTCTCTCCTGATTGGTCTAGCCAGTAAAACACAAAGGAACATTGTGTCCCTGCTTAAATAACACAATAAAACAAATACAACTATCCACAAGGTTGGGTAGCTACAGAGGCTATAATCTGTATTAATCTGTTGTGGAAGTTTGTGTTTAATTTAAATATTTTCTTATCATGTATTTCCACTTCATGCTACTTCTTCACCTCTCTGGAGAATTAGTGCAGTTCATTTTTTTACTCATCTTTAATCATCACACATTTTCCTATTCAGAGATGGTGAAAAAAAGTACTTTTACAAACCTAAGAGGATTACAAATAAATATTAGATTTATCCTGAATTTAACCCGTAAAGGTCTTATTGAGGAGCAATGAATCTTCAGCCAGGGATTTCTGGTCTGGATGGACAGCAATACAAAAAAATAAAAAAAATGGTTCAATATAAAAGGTAAACATGATTTCAAATATCAACACAAACACAACAAAAAACATTGTCACAGTTGTTGTATTCTGGTGTAGTTACAGCCCTGTATTCAAAACTGAACTGAAGTAAATGTACAGAAAGAAAATGCAAAAACTGAAACAGACCAGAAGAAATCTAATAACTGTACGAAAGGGCCAATTTCACAATAAAACAATTACTATTAATGTGTTTATCACTTTTAAATTGCTGCTGAATGTGAGACACTCTTTATAAACATGTATTTCATATAAATTACTTATCATTATTTATTTTATTTAGTAATAATAATCCTAATCTTTTAAGTAAATACTTCACTATCAAATTATTCCAGAGGATTAAAAGTGTAATATTTAAGTGACGTAAAACTCCAAAGCAGCAGGAAATGTGAATACTCAGTTATGAGCACTTGAATTACACAACACTTAAGATAGGTTGAACTTGATTATCTTTTTCACACCTTTGAGATTTATTTCAATGCATTTTATAACTTCAGTGTCAGTGATCAAGGAGTACAGAGATTTATTGAGCAGTACAATACTTCCTGTTGACAAACATTGGTTGGACACACCTGAGACAATCTGTCACATCAGAAGAACAATTACAGCTAAGACATGAAGTTCAGTAATAATCCCTCTGTATCTTCAAACCCATCTTTTCAAACATTCATTCATGTTCTTCATTCAGCATCACGAGTGTGTTCAGTGTAATCCTACTCATGAACATCAGCATTACTGTGGAGTCAACGAGCTGTCAGGTCGGAGAACATTAATATTCAAACAGCTTTACGGACAAAACAAAGTGGCACCATGATTTAGCATCTCTGAAGTTTAACGAGCTAAAGCTAAAGAACACTGCTGGTTATAGTTTGTGACTTAAATCTATAATCCTGATTGTGAAGCAACAATTATCTAAAAAAAAGAAAACCAATGAGTTGATCAACTAAGATGTAGCCTCGGCCTGATATGCTGTATAACGTTGATCTTAAACACATCGTGGAACTGTAAACATGATGAGTGCACCAAAGGTGTATCCAGCTGGAAAAAGTCCCAGTCACATTTTCCAAACAGTATCAGGCGTCAACTAACGGCTGTGTTTTCATTATCGATAAACCTGCTGATTACTAAAACAAAAGGAGCTGAAAACGGTGAAACAACTTCCTCACAGTTTTGACCACATCCAACTCGTTTTTGTCCAAAACCCAACTCAGTCAATGATTTATAATGTAGCACCAAAAAGGCAGATTCTCCACTTTTCCAATTTTGTATACAAATCAAATGTTCATGAATTTGTCTTAAAATGACTAAGACGAATTACTCAATTTTAAAAAATAGTTCCTAGTCAATTATCTTTCCATGAAATACATTTTGCTGCTCTGAATGTTTAAGCTTTAAAGGTCATCTGTTTGCCAACATTAACTTATCATTAACAGTCGACTTAAAAAGTGCTTTTTCTTTTCACTGAAAACAGACTGAAGCAACAAGTTGAAGTTTGTCATGAGAAAAAAAACTTGCTCTAATAAACCGTAAAAAAATAGAAAGAAGCTCCTTAGTGCGGAGAGGAAGCTGCAGAGGTGGGTGATAAGACTTCACCCATTGTTTCTAGCTGGTGTTAATAAGTTAAAGATCTATCAGAAGTGAATGGTTTCTAGGCTGAGTGACAGACGGGGCAGAAACATATTCCGATACAAATTAGCACATTGCTGATTGTTGGTCTTTACCTGGGATTTATTGACAGTATTGAAAATGAAGAATGCCACCAGATTATTCCTTCAATCTGTAGTGTTTGTTTGAAAAGACTTTACTGCAGCAAATATGAAAATTAAATGACAAACTCTAAAATAACCGCAGGATAGTCGACCAGAAACAATCTCTAAGTCCAGCATTGTGTTTTTTTACCGTAAAGCTTCAAATAAAAGCCCATTCCAAATTAAGGCCCAGTACCTCTACTGAAATAGTTTGCAGATCAAAGGAAAAAAAATCAGACACAAGAGACGAAAAAAATAAAGATAAACATCGACATCAGTGCTATGCTGGTTTGTGTACCAGTGTGAGGAAGAGGGTTAAAGATCAGCTGGAGAATCGTGTGTGTGTGTGTGTGTGCATCCACAGAATGAGAGCGTTGCCTCTCCAGAGACTCCTGCACGATGATCTGGATAAAGACTAAAGACTGCTTAAGCATAAACCTCAGTGACTGACAGGAGGGACAACTCTGCTTCCTGCGCTGCCTTAAGAGATGGAAGTAAATGTTGAAATTATGAAAACAAACGTTTTTTTTTTTTTTCCATCTCTCATGCAAAACATTTTTAGAGCTTTTACATATGCTTTACACATTCAGATGTGTTTTCACAGCTTCATACGACAGCACAGCACTTGTTAGTGACTATTTGGACCGGGGTCTCTCCCTCTCTCGCCCACACTGCAGCAACACAGGGGTCTCTCCCTCTCTCGCCCACACTGCAGCAACACAGGGGTCTCTCCCTCTCTCGCCCACACTGCAGCAACACGGGTCTCTCCCTCTCTCGCCCACAGTGCAGCAGGTTGGCAGAGATGAGCCGATTACAAAACAACATCAAATGAGTGGTTTGTAATTTAGTTTATCAATATCCTGATTTTGTCCATGTTAAATATTATTTCTGATGTAAATTTACAGTTTTATACTCTTTCCCATTCCCAAGTTTTTTTTAAATTTTTTTTAATTTTTTTTTTTAAATAATTGAAGGCCCGTCTCCTAATGAAGCGTGTCCCAAATAAAGGCAGGGTAATATTCAAGTAAATAAAATCCCGGACTACGAAGTGAAGTTTTACGGTCCTCGATCAGTCCCTTCTTCCTCACGCCGCCTTCTTCTCCTTGACGCCAGGCCCACGCAGAGCGGCCCGCACGCTGCTCCACACCTCAGTGTACAGCAGGGTGCCCAGGAAGACCACGCCCGTGCCCACCCAGTGCCAGGCAGTGAAGGGGTTTTGGAAGTAGAGGATGGAGAAGATGAGGCTGAGGAACTTTCTCAAGGTCACCACCAGAGTGACGGTGAGAGAAGCACACTCTGTGGTCAATATGAACACACCACGGATACACACATACCTGAAAAAGAACTGGTTAAAGTCGGTAACAGGAGTGTGACATCATGAGTTAAAAACGGTCTGCTCTGTGTTCGTCTACAGTGATACTGTCTTTAAGATTGATTAACTACGTCTAACTCTGCAACCTTTACCTTTTTACAAAACCCTTCATGATTTGTGGACCGCCTTATTACCTAATTCTTAGTTTTTCTCATCATCAGTCATGACCTTTCTTAACCTCCACTGTGTTTTGTGTGTGTGTGTGTGTGTGTGTGCATGTCTGACTGTGTGTGTGTGTGTGTGTGTGTGTGTGGAGCTCCCGCTGCACTGCTGCAACACCAAACGCAATGTGAACTCACAGGCTGGGACACCAATATTACACCGTTACGGAATTGAATATGAATGTCTTAAGACGAAATGACGACGGAGTTTTCATTACAGAATTGAGAAGTGCTAACGGCTTAACGCAAACTATCAAAACCACATAGTCAGAAGTTTTTTTGTGATGGACTAAACTGAAGCAGCGTTTTAACCAGCGGCAGGTTCAGCAAGTCTACTGTGCGGATTGGCTTTAGAAACCAAAGATGCTGAACTTATTTGTATTTCACACAGAAGAGGCAAGCTGTATGTATAAAATTAAAAGCAAGAGTTCCCTTATTCTTCTCGGGCAGCATTGTAATAAAAGCAGATACCTTACGGATAAATACATAAAAAGCAGTGTACGATTGTTTTACAGGATACTGTGTTATGACGTTGATTATCAGGTAAACCCACATTATTGGCACCGTCAGGCCGACCACAGGAACAACCACAGGAGCTGAAAACAGAAGATATGTATTAACACCTGTGAGAAAAGACACAGAGTGAATGTTAGGGGCAAGATGATGAAACTCACTGCTCTGACTGAAGTAAATGGCGTGGTTGTAGATGTTTGTGGAGAGGAGCAGGAAGCCTGGCAGAGGTAGACAGTGCTGCAAACGAAGAGCGAGGTCAGACAAAGAGAATAAGACTTTATCTACTGTAAGGGAGTTTACATTCCCCCCCTCAGCTGTTTCAATCGTTTCTAAGCGTCGGAGCACAGAGGAAACTCACGTTATAGAAAAGGGCCTCCTTGGAGTGTTTGCCGTACTGTTTGTACAGCGTCTCCTGAAAAATGCCCATCCTCGCTGACATCACGAGTGCAAAGGTCAACATGGCGATACCTGAAGGGACGGAAACCAACAAAAGCAGGACAAATTCTTCACTGACATCATGTTTATGCAGCTGGATGTTTGTGTTAAATCTCTCCCTGTATGCTCCTGCTTTTCACTCAAAGAGCCAGCGGGGAAATATACTAAGTACTGTATGCACGTTTCATTTTGAGGTGCTTGACTAAAGTATTTCCTTTTTTAATCAATTAATCGATCAAGTTAGTTTGGTACATAAGCCCTGTTTCCACCACCAAGCGGTCCGGTTTGGTTCAGCACAGTTTGGTCAGTTCGGTACAGTAAACCCTGATCTTGCTTGCGTTTTCTACAGCCAACATTACCCTTATTTAATAATTACGTAGTAATTAAGTTCAACGAAGAAGAAGAACGGGACACAGTTAACAAAAGGGACCCTTTAGTGTCGGATCAGCGCCCTTAGCACCCAACAGAAAGTACCAAAAAAGTAGGACGGTACAGATCCTGATGTCGTAGACAGATGTAAAGCTGTGAGGAAATGTATAAACTTCAAAGAGATTATGCTGTATTACAATAAACGTATAAATGAGAGGCAGTGAAAATTCTGAAAGTACTATACTAAATAAATAAATACTCAGAAAACAGGTTGTAGCAAGTAAACAAGTAGGCGAGGAGGGGGAGCCTGTGCAGTATGATATACAGAACCACTAACTTTACAGTTACAGCAGTAGAAATGTATGACTGATGAAAATAGAGAACATAAATAAATAAGTCAACATTTACCATCCTACTGTGACTGAAATGTCAACGTAAACTCACCTAACAGCCAGTGCATGAGGGCGGAAAAGCCCTGCTCTTCTGATCCCTCATTGGCCACGTTCTGCAGAGAAAGAAAGAAACAAGACAAAATAAAACAAAACGCATCAAAAATAAATAGTTCAGGTCGAGATCCAGACTGTATATTTCTCAATGGAACATTGACCTTTAATCTAAGCGTAGAAAACCTGAGATGTCGTGTTACAAAAGAAAAGACATTCGTCGAGGAAAATGAAAACAAACATTGTTATGTTACATTAAAAAGCTACGAGTTGTGCAGACGACTCACCACTTGTCTGGCAGACATGATGGTGCAGATGAAGATGCCAGCTGACACTAAAGCTATAGACAGATATTTACTCACTGAATACCTGCAGACAGAGACAGGGAGACAGAGAGAGAGAGAGAGAGAGAGAGAGAGAGAGAGAGAGAGAGAGAGAGAGAGAGAGAGAGAGAGAGAGAGAGAGAGAGAGAGAGAGAGTGAGACACAACCTGGTCTGAATGGGAAACCAACAAATCAGCAGAGTGCAGACTAATAAAGGCATCAGACTGTTGGACAGGTGGACTCCGGTCAGCATCTTTTCCTCACATCATAAAACAGTTTCAAATGAAGGAAGTTAATAAGAGAAACCTGAAATCTACATGCGTTTTTCTTGAAATATTAGACTTCATGCTTGTTAGCCTCGTTGAATCACAATTTAGTTTCTTGAAAATCTACATTTGAATGTCTTTAAATTGAAGCCTTCATCCTTGAAATATGATAACTTTATTCTTATTAGTTTGCATCTTGTTTCGTTTGGAACTACACAGACTTTTTCCTCGTAAAAATAAAGCTTTTTCTTTAAATAGTGGAGCTTTATTTTCTTTTAGATATGACTTCTGACTGTATATGTTGGCTTTACCTTTTCTTCAGGATGATTATTCCCAGGATCATGTTAGCAATGAGTGACCCCTGCAGAGAAACAACACAGCAGCTCAAACACAAAAGGTCCGACTGAGCTAGAGGCGATGGACGTCATGTTTGAATTAGAAAAGAGTTAAACAGCAAAAGGTGACATGTCTTACTGATCTGAAGATCATGTGTAAGGGCATAGCGATGTTAAAGTTGAGAGCATAGTTGTTGATCACACTGATGGTGAAGAACATGGTCACCATGATCACATAGTTGCTGAAAACGAACAGACATAACAAGTTTGTTTGAGTCGGATTATAACGTATCTGCAGAAAGAAGTGTGAACCACTAATGAATGCTCTCTGACCTCATGGGGATCGACGGCTTCTTCCTGCCAAAGTTGGTTTCAAAAATGAAACCCTCTAACGCATGAAAACAAACTGAGCAAAGGTGACAATGTTTCCGCATCCTGGAAACTCTCTGAAGAAGAGAACAGAAGAAAAAAACAAACAACAACAGATGAGTTCAATCAGGCAAGAATATAACCAGATGACACAGATGTTTTAGTACAGATGTGTTTGATTTTAAACACAGCTGCTTCAAACTCCAGTCTTTCTAATGGGACAACTGTGATACTTTTAAAACAGATCTAAATAAAATAAGGTCTTAAGGTAGTTGTGATTTAGTTGAAGTGAAGAGGAGGGAAAATGGACTTCATGCTGAAGTGGAGGTAAGGAAGATATTTTAGCTTGTGTTACTTCAGCTGAAGGTTTCTCTAATCTCTATATGTTTAAGTAGGAAAATAAGTCTGAAGCACATTTGTTTGTGTCTTATCACAACTGTAACCTTCTTTGTAACTGTACTCTTTGAAACACAAGACAATAAGGCTGGTTTAAGTTCATATGCACCACTGGCAACAACCTAATCTCTACAATAACATCCCCTCGTATCTACTTGTAACAAATAGTTGAGTTGAGGAAATCTGAAGCAGCTGTGAAAACTTTCATCAAGTCAAGTCGTCATGAGGTTCATTAAGAGTCTAAGTTTGGCACTGACCTTACGAGCAGCTCCAGAGACACCACATTACTACAGCATCCGATAAAAACCAGACAAATGGCAAAAGCTGTCCCCATGTTGTTCTCACTGCGGAGATAAACTCGGTAGAAAATGTGTCACTTGATCAGGACAGTTTCTAAAAAATGCATAATTGCAAATAAGCAGCTGCTTATGTCTTAAACCGGGTCTTTCTGCTTGCACAAACTCCTGTTTCAGTTGAACACGTCTAAATATATGAGGTTGCGCTTTTCCTCAATGCAGGGGCTCATGGGAGTTGTAGTTTCTTCCTGACATCACCGGAAAGTAGTAGGCTACGTAGTAGCTTTAACATTATCGGATTTTAAATGATATATTACAACATAGGTATCATATTTTAATCAAAATTTAGGTATGAACATTTGTAGACATGTTTAATAAAATTAACAAATGGAATTTGAGTTTGCGCAATCCCTGCGCATACACGCAAACGAAGGTGATAAGATCATTTCTTCAGAGAATGTGAAGATCTCTCACTCTTTTCAAAATTTTGGGTACCCAAAAGACTCTAGGCAAATAAAGACAACCTGTTTTTTGTTTGTTTAAAATAAGTATTTTCACGTTACCTTTACACCTGCTGTTAGAGTGAAGGGTTTCTCCATACATAGGTATTTCTTAATTCAATCATAGACTGTACATATTAATTAAATACATCTATCTGACACCTGAATACCTTTTGGATAAAAGCCAATATGTTCATATGTTATGATCATGTTATGTGCATTTCTACTAACCTACTAAACAGTACACAAAGTATCTAAAATAATGTCCAGATTGACAAAGAACAATATAAACATCCTCAGCAAAAATATATATTTGTAAAATATAGTTTTTACGGCAATAGACCTAATAATAATAATTATTTGATCATTTCTAGCTTTTTACTATCTGAGAACTAGTTTGTGAAGTGCATATGAGCAGCGATAGTCACATATCAAGCACAAACAAATGATGTTTGTGTAATGTAAGGACTATATCTATATTGTAAGTGTGAAAATGGGATATGCAAATAAGTTAGAAACATATGTTTAGTATGTTCTTTCTTTGTGCAGACACAACTTTAGTATGATTGCTATAATGTTGGTTACAAGTCTGTTTACAGTAATGTTAATATACTGGTATCAGGTATGTACGGTGGCTGGGAGGGGCAAAGCAAATTTACAAGATGTGAAACACTTTTACAGTCGCTGAGACAAATTTACAACAGGCAGAACACTTTTACCAGTCCCCAAACAAATTTACAAACCTTGACGGAAAGGGAATGTACCACGACAAAACAAAACAAACAAATTCTCGATCACTTCCGACATTTGGTACATTCCCATTTTGTCAAGATTCTGTCGTTTGTAAATTTGTCTCATCGATTGTAAAAGTGTTTCACATCTTGTAAATTTGTTTTTATAAAATGTAAATGTGTTTTTCAAAATGTACATTTGTCTCACATTTGTAATGTAATAATTATTATGTAATAATAATTTTGCTTTGCACTTCCCAGCCACCGTAGCTATGCCACCTAGTGGGCGCTGTTCAGGGAGCAGTGAGCTGGGCAGTGAGAGAAAAGAGGGGAAGAAGAGAGGTGTTTGAATGTACCGTGCGTCTGTGAAGCTGACTCAAAGTTATGCGAAAGACCCAAAACGTGTTTGGACTTATTTATTCTTCACATGCACCCACGTCGCTTACAATATGTAAGGACTTGGAGGCATATCTATAACAAAACATCTGCACAAATAGACGATCTTTGGTTTGTGCGTAGCTCCAGAAGACGTGGCGGCGTAACCACCGTAACCACCCGCTAGCTTCGCCTGCGTCTCTGCTGCCTCTGTAGCATCCAGCATCAGTTAGTGCTACTAGCAGCTAAAGCGAAAGGTTTGGGTCGTTTTGTGTGACTTGGAAACCCCCGCCCCCCCTCAGCTGCTGCCAAAATGATTTCTCTCACGGATTCACAAAGTAAGAGCTGTTTAAATTACTTCACGGTTCTTTGTCTTTGTAAGGTGCCGCTGTAGATGTAGGTTTGTATGAGGTTAGCAGCTCTAATGCAATTGGCTGAGAGCATCTTACGTCACATAGCTGTTCTGTAATACATTCATGGTTTAAATTAAGAAATATTTAATAAACTATATCAACTAGTGGTATTCCAAAAAAAAAAAAGAAGATCTTATGACTTATTTTTCAAACACATTAATTACTCTAGAGCAGAAAAAAAATATTTTAATACTGTTTAACCAAGCCTGCTCCCAGTAGATCACAAAACACACAACCGGACAATTCACTCTGACTCTGTGCAATAATAATAATAATAATAATGTTATATTAATGTTATATTATGTTTATCAAACCACTTTGTGCAATAACATGTTACACTTTATGTGCATGTCTGTGTTACACTGAATATTACGGACTACACTTTTGTCAAATAGCTGATCTATTTTTTTATTTTTTTAAATCTATTTTTTTTTTTTTTAAATCTATTTTTTATTTTTTTAAATCTATTTTTTAGTATCTATCTATTTATTTTGTACATTCTTAATTTTTCTTTTTATATTTAAATTGTACTGTGTTCACTTTTTGTTTGCAATCTTTGCTCCTTGCTGCTGTAACAATGTAAATTTCCCCGTTGTGGGATGAATAAAGGATTATCTTATCTTATAAAGAAATGTTCACCAACTAAAAGTACTCCATCTAGTATTTCTCTTTATGTGTACTCTATCAGTGTCTGCTGTTTTCATAATAACAAGTTTCTATTTGTTGCAGAGATTGGGATGGGGCTGACAGGGTTTGGTGTGTTTTTTCTCTTCTTCGGGATGATGCTGTTTTTTGATAAGGCTCTCCTCGCCATTGGAAATGTGAGTTGATACTATTACTCCACTTTGTGATACCTCCCTCATTGTGCACGACAGATGTCACACCTGTGTTCATGTCTTGTCTCTGCAGATTCTGTTCGTGTCAGGCCTGTCATTCGTCATCGGCCTGGAGCGAACGTTCAGGTTCTTCTTCCAGAGACACAAATTTAAAGCCACAAGCTTCTTTCTAGGAGGAGTTTTTGTGGTTCTGATCGGCTGGCCGATCATTGGTGTTGTTCTAGAGATCTACGGTTTCTTCCTCTTATTCAGGTAAGTTTTTCCCGCACTATAAACACTGACTTTATCGTTGTTTACCTGGTTAAATGTGCACTTTTTTGACAACTTTCTTTTTAACAGAGGATTCTTCCCAGTGGCTGTTGGATTCATCAGACGAGTTCCTGTGCTCGGATCTCTGCTTAGCTTACCAGGAATCAGTGCAGTAAGTAAACCAGGACAGGCAATGAATCACACTTTTTTTTTTTTTTTAACACAAATAAGAATTAGAATAAGAATGAATGATTGAGTTCATAAGCTCATTGTTATTTTATTTAGAGGCTCTTAGTGAAGGAAAATCACATACTGGGGTTAAATGTTTTTTCTGTTTCTGATTCTCTTTCAGCTGGTGGATAAAATTGGTGAGAGCAACACGATGGTATAACAGCGGGCTATTTTCCTGTGGAAGGAGAGTTTCTGTATTTATCACATTTCCTAACAGTGACTGTATATTTCATTATTTTGTTCATTAACACTCCAAAACTGTGAAGTGTTTTTTTTTCCTGCGTATCAGTGGACAATTGACTGACATCATGATATTTGTTACCAAGAGATTTTTTTACATTATTTTAAGAGCTGGAAGCCGGTCTCCCATTTTGTATGATTCCAGTCTGGTATTTATGGACAGATAACTGTGGACCACTGGTTTAATTCTCCAGAGAGTCAGGAGATCCTCACAGCATCCGCTCCTCCAGATCATGTGCCTGAACATTCACTGAGTTCCTCGATGAGGTGTTACTGAAATTTTGTACATGAAGACTAAATGCTGAGATAAATGTTACTTTGGCAAAGAAACCTGAACTGTTGTGAAAAAGAGAGAGACATTATTGCGATGTTTTACTGTAACTTTTGTAAGTGCATACTTGAATTAAAGTGTGGCTTTTTACGCGTTTTGTTATGTATTTTTTCGCCGCAGAGATCACATTGTCATATGAAACGCTTCATTATAACAGTACTATCGCACTACATGGACCGACACCCGCTGCTTATGCGTACACATATATCCTTTTAAGAGCTGGATTTTCTTAAATATCCAATATTTCAGTCAAAAGTTTCAAGCCAGAGACTAAAAGTTTCATTTGACGTAATATAATGCAATGGTTTAATGTGAATCCGTGTTTTTCCCTTTCTTGGATTAGATGATTTCCCCCAGTCTCACATCTGTGGGCTACATTAGCAGTCTATTCTACATACTATAGGATACTACTGTACACAAACTCTGGTAGCCAAAGCTTGGCTCAAAGGGTTTACAGCCAGCATGGCTCTGTCAAAGAAAGTACAACACTCACTAATTAACATGCTACATCTTAATTGTCACACCAGTGCAAAACAATGAGGCGTGAAATTGAACAATTTCTGGTTCTACAATGGTTGTGTCTCTGAGTACTGAATGTGGGCCGGGCGCTGTAACTTCCTGGATTCTTGTTGTCATGGTGATGTTAAGGAGCAACCAGCAGAGATTACAACGGTCTCTTCAAGCTTACTTTTTGTTTTTGGTAATACAACGTGAATAACAGATGCGTTTCATATTTAGCTACCTTTATATATGAGCAATGGTCTCTACCTTCTCATGTAAGACATGTCTACTTAGGCCTACTTTTCATATGACAGCAGTCAAAGGAAACAATCTAATCTGTTTTTTTTGACTCCTCAGTTGCGGCATTTCGCAGGTGTCTTCACCCACATACTGTAAATATGTCTTCACCCACATACTCATTGAAACGCTGCTGTCATCACATCAACTTCATTCACAAAAAAAAACAAAAAAACATCTACAGTGTCGTCATCACGTTGTGACCCTGTCTTCAAAGTTTCTGATAGATGTGCCAGTGATTAACGAGCAGTGACAGTTTTCGCAACACCTGTCAAACTGATCAGTTTAAGTAACACCATGAGATGTAAATAAGCTACCTGTCAGCCTCATCAGTGACGGTGTGTGCAGAGGTGGTTTGCTTTGTTTTTCTTTTCAAATGTGCGTGACAGCGGAGGAAGAGCCAATCAGACATTTAAGCACAAGCTGCAGCCTGCACAAGAGCAAATCAATCACAACGATTGAAGGTAAGATACAATTTTCTCCGGCATTCATTTCAACATTTATGGAATTAGTGATTGCTTTCAGTTTTCTTTTTCTATTTTACTATTTTATAAACATGTAAGTTAGCCTGTTCCAATTAAAACATCCATCAAACTGTAATATTTTAATATTTTTTTATTATCTATTTAGCTGTTAAAATGTATTGCCAGGAAGCTGTGCACAGTTTTTCTTTCTAATTCTTCTTCTTGTAGTGACCCTAAGTGGATGTTGAGATTTTTGACAGATAATGAATGACATTGTTGTCAACATATTATAAGAAGTCTGGATCTGTTTACAGCTTATTAAAAAAAAAAAAAAGTGTCATACATGAGATGAAGTAGTGGTAGGTTTAGGGTTACAACTCTTCTTTCTTTAGCCACTATTTGTGAGTGTTTCAATTACTCTTCATGTCATTACAGAGGTCAACAATGTCTCTAATTGTCATATTGCTCATGGTGACATTGGTTACCCCTCAGTGTTGGAGTGCACCACCGGTGGGTTAAAGTTAATTTTCTCTGTTTTCATATTTAAGATGACAAATACTTTGATGAATATGATTGTAACAAAAAAAAAACGTTGAATCACCCATCCTCAGCGGAGAAATTGGACTCCTCAGGCCATCCTATACCTAACAGGAGCACGTAAGATCTGTTCATTCTAAATAGTCAAATGTTCTGTGTTTTTGTGGTTGAGCTGTCTCCTCGAATCGAAGAGAAATCATTTGGATGTTGATCTCTTACAGAAGGTCACCGCTCAGTGTTGGAGCGCACCACAAGAGAGGAGGGGGAGACTTTACGTTTAGGTTAGTATGTAAATCTCTGCAGCTCATGGTGTAACTAGAATCCTATGGAGAGCAACTTCTGCTTGTGAAAACAATAATGAGTTGATTTATTAACCAAGCTGTGACACATATTGATATTCTGATTTCTGTGATAGAAAGGATTAAATGAAAAGAGTTTGATCAGAGTTGGATATGAGGACAGTTGTTAATGTTCTGTTTATTCTGGATGTGCAGTGCCGTGCTTTCCTTTTAAATTTCTAAATGTTGGTCTTTGCTTGCTGCATCCTTGAAGTAACTTACAACCAGTGCAGAGATGGACCGGGATCGTCTTTGTCGTCATTTCTTCTGGATCTTCTGCAACGTGCTGTGGTAGAAGGTAGAATCCTTAAGGTTACATCACCACCACTCTGCTCGATACTATCAGATTATTAAATCTCTTTTTTTTTTTTTTTTTACAGATGGAGGTAATCCAGATTTGAATCCAGATGAGCAAAGGCAGAACTTTAACTTGTTGTGATATTATATCAGGGTTCATTTTTTCATGATGGTAGTATTATTTGTTACTTATTGCTTGTATTGAAATGTGCGTTATAAATAAAACTCCTTGTCCTTGTCTGTGAGTTGTGATTGTACAAGTGTAAGCCGTGCCTTTGATTCGTTTCTGCACTGAAGTGTTTACATCTTCTTCTCTTGAATGAGCTAATCAAGTTAGTGTGAAGGGATTTCCTTATCCTTATCCAGATCCATTAAGAAAAAAAAAAAAAACAGTCTGTCAGCTTGGGGCAACAATTAAGTCATTCGCACCACACAGGGATTATCACCATTCAGTTCTTCATCATCACACTGTCTACAGCGGGGTCACCGAGAGAGGAGACACAGCGACTTTTATAAGTAATGACAGCCTGAACCTTCCGTGACGGGGTCAATTTAAGGTCATTTTCTTAGAAGTAGAAGTTTTAATCCTGACATGTAACCTGGGTTTCCTGCTTCACGATTACTTAAATGCCTTCCTAGAATCAATAATAATAATATAAACCAAACCTTTTAATCCAATACCAGGATATCTAATATCTATAACGATGTGATGTCACACTCTGCATCTGTTATAGTTTCAGTACTTTACGTTAACAAATGATGGACCAGGGCGAGGAGCTTACAAGGCTATTATATTGTGTAAATGTATAGTATTAAGGGGTTGTACAGACTTTGAAGAGAAGGAAAAAATGCATTTATTTGGGTTTAGAGTAGTTGTGTAAATAAAACAAAGAGCAGTTTTTGGTGAAAATCAAGCAATTTAGGAGCAATTGTTGTTGCTAAAATTTAACAAAAGGGTTCAAATTAATCAATTTTTAAACTCTTTAGACTTAGATCCAGTCCTGCATCTTACCAGAGAAAGAGCTACACAATGACTGCTCAAAACTGTGCAGTTGTTTAAATGCCCCTCATGTTGTTGAATTATGTATCTTTCACCGACTTGGATTAAAAAAAACTTGTAGTAAAAAATAGCTTCAACTACAGATTCCATCAGGATATCATGAATCTTTTATGATTTTTGGTTGAAGAATTTCAATGGCTGCATTACAGATATAACATTTACATTTCTACTTTAGAGTGTTTTTTTTTTTATCACTGCATAACAGCACACACATTCTTCCTGTTCGAGGACCAACAAACTTTATTTCATTACACATCAGAGAAACATGAGTGGCTCACACTGCATCACAGCTGAGGACTGATGAGTCAGAGCATCATTTCACTCAGTTGATGTCACATTCGTTTTCTGTGTACACCTACAGCTAAATCTGATGGGATTAAAACCCACTGAACGCCTGTGACTCTACAGAGGGCGGTGGGTTGAAGGTGTGGAAGGTGGAGCTGTCTGGTGTTCTGTGACTGCAGTGCATTAATACTGTGCGTGAAGAGCAGTCAGAAGGGTGCTACTACAGCGCCCCCTGCTTTTCTGTTACACATCCCGCAGGTCCCTCTGGATGTCCCACAGAGTGTTGGCACTGGCCTGCAGCTGAGCCACCTCGTCGTCATTCAGGGTCATGTTGACCACGCTCGCTACGCCTCCACCGTTCAGCACACAGGGCAGACTTAGATACACCTCGTCACTGATTCCATACATGCCCTGCACAAGAAGAACAAGCTTACAGTCTGTGTGACTACAAACAATTCAATAAAAAAATAGACAAGTGTCAGCTGGGAAAGAAAGTAATATTTAATCAAATTTGAATTCTCAGCTCATATGAAAAATAGATTTAACCAAATAGTAGTCATTTGGAAGCGACAATTTGAAGCATATTTGTTTTTTTGTTTTATTAATAAAGCTCCTTATGATCATGGGAATGTCTAATTAAAACATTTAAGAATATCTAAATCAAAAGAAACAAAGATGTATGCTAAAATGCAAAAAACCTTTTCAAGACTATTGTAAGTAGCATTATAGCTTTGGCAGGAACATTTAAGATGTAGATTGTTTCTGAAATGTGAAAAAGACGTGTGTGCAAACAGGCTTTACCTGCACCATGGTGGAAACGGGATGAATCCTGTTCATGTTCTTCATGAGGCTCTCTGTCAGGTCAGCTACACTCAGGCCGATGGCCCAGTTGGTGTAACCCTTCAGTTTGATCACCTCATAGGCACTGAGAGATTTAAAAAACACACACACACACACACACACACACACACACTTCAGTTTGATCACCTCATAGGCACTGAGAGATTTACAACAAAACACACACACACACACAACACACACACACACACACACACACACTAAAATCAAGAATATCTAAATCTAATGTTCCGACCTGATTTAAACACATATTTGAGTGATTAAAGAGTGTAACAGTGAAAATAATACACCATGGCATTTCAGCCTTTACACCCACCAGTCGTTCTGAGTCACTGGTTGGTTTACGGGGTTATGGTATGAACCACTTGGTTTACAGCTAGTATTATGTTATAATCTTAAGAAAACAATTTGAATGACATTTACAGATTATTTGTTATGAATATTTTATTATTTATATTTTAATGATTTCCTCACAAACTCAAATCTGCTGCATCAAACAAATCATTTCAGCAAATGTATAATAATAATAAAAATACATGATCATCCTCATCTGTCATTAGGGTTCAACACCGAGCTCTCAAACTATCTGAAGTGGGATTCTGGATGATTCTGTGATTCTAAATCGTGGTGATTCAGGCAAAGAATGAGAGGTGTCAGACACTGACGTCAAAGAGTTCCCAAAAAACAACACTCCCAATTACAGAATAGAAGTAGTCCATGTAAACTCTTGCCTACCTGTCCACCACCATCTTGTGGGTTTCCTTCCAGTTCTCATCATCAAGGTCAGTTCCAATGTCCGGGTTCAACGTCTGCAGGTTAACTCCAGCCACGTTTGTTCCACTCCACACAGGCACTAAACGCATTTTGAAATCATTAACCTCTTTCTAACTACGTCTCTCATCACAGTCTGCAAATCAGTTTCGTCAATAACATGTTGTGATTCTGTTAGCTTGATCACGGGCAGTTCAGAAACTCCACAAATCCTCACCGCTGGTGTCTCCATGTTCTCCTAGAATCCAGCCGTTGAAGCTGCTGGCGTGGATTCCCAGTTTGTCGGCCATCAGGAAGCGGAAGCGTGCCGAGTCCAGGTTGGTGCCACTGCCAATGACGCGGTGCTTGGGAAGGCCGCTCAGCTTCCAGGTCACATATGTCAGCACATCAACTGTTGAAAGTGTTGTGATTAAGAAGGTGAACGCTGCCTTACACACACAAATCTTCATCTTGTTTTTTTGTTTTCTCTCACTCAAACACACAGTACCTGGGTTGGAAACCACAATAATGATGCAGTCAGGACTGTATCGGATGATCTGAGGGATGATGTGCTTGAAAATGTTGACATTCCTCTGGACCAGGTTCAGCCTGCTCTCCCCCTCCTGCTGACGAACTCCAGCGGTCACCACCACAATGCGGGAGTTTGCTGTCACAGAGTAGTCTGCAAGAGAAGAGGAGCAAGGGATTGATTACATTTGTAAAGAGAGAAAGCAATCTGTCCTCACAGATTACAATTTAAACCAGGGTGTCTCGAACAAATCTAAATTTCTGCTGAGAATCTATTTGAATGTCAATAAGGGAAAAACATTGGTGATGCTGCATGCAGGGAAGCTGCAACCGGCAAATACCTCAACTGTTTTAAGAAGATGTTTCTTGGCAGGACTGAGGAATGAACTTGCCTTTGTCTGCCACTATTTTGTGGGTTTTGAGGAAGAGGCTGCCGTGCTGCAGGTCCATCATCTCTCCTTTCAGCTTGTCCTCCATCACATCCACCAGGGCCAGTTCATCAGCCAGCTCCTGCACACATCAGAAAGGTTCAGAGCAACACAGCTTCCTCTCACAATCCACTTGGTCAGCAAAAAAAAAAAAAGAAGAAGTTTGACAGTTGAGGTTACAAGTTGAAATCTAATAGGCACATTTAGTGGTCATAGTTAAGCAGGGCTTCACTTACAGCGGATATTTTAGAGCAATAATAAAATTCAGACATTACCATTAAAGCTGCGAAAAAGGCACATTTTACACAAAGGCCTTTTTTATTGGTTGTGGGTTGAATTTGCACCAATGTGACTATGCAAAGGTACTCAGAGGCTGCTTAATTAAACAAATAATTAAAAAGCATCTGAAGTATTACACATTGTTAACCTTATATTGTTCGGCTCTCAGCTGTGATGCTCTATTAAATGTGACTGTAGTCAGTGCTGAGAACATTTCAGACTACTGAGATTCAGCATGCTCTGTAGACAAACTACGAGATAACACCATTTCTTAAAATCCAAAAGCATTTTTTGTGTGCATATTTGTAATTTTTAAATATTTTCACATCAATGCATATATAGAATAGAATAGAATAGAATTACTTCATTGCTCCCAAACTGGGAAATTGTGGCTGTATCAGAAAATATGTTCACTGATATCAATATATATATATGATAGGCTCATATTAGTCCAATAATATCAGTGGTCTGATTGTAAACTAAGGATCTTAGACTCAATTCATTAATAAAGATTTACATCACACAGCTATTTTTCACAAATCGTATCAAAACCTCATCTTTTCCTTTACTCGTGAAACTGTGCTCACAGACTGGTAGTGGCCTGTTTTGCAGACAGTATAATGAATCGTATCAAAACCTCATCTTTTCCTTTACTCGTGAAACTGTGCTCACAGACTGGTAGTGGCCTGTTTTGCAGACAGTATAATGACACAATTGTTTAAAATTAGTTGAAAGGATTTCTCCCAGTGGAGTGGATCAATAAGGTAACCTGGCAGCTAAATTTATTGTTCAACTAGACAGCAGCTGCCAAACGTCAGCCTCAAAAGCAAAGCCAGGTTGAACTGTTTCATTAGAAACTCAATGTAGGTCAAAAGGTTGTTTTTTTTCGGACACTATCACCACCTCAACATGTCCAGTGAAGGGATAAATGTCAGATCAGACACTAACAGATAAGTAATCCTGTGTCAGTCTACCAAGATGTCGGCATTACCCCGTTGTGTGACACCAGCAGGCAGGGTGATAATCTGAGCAGAGCAGGTCTCTTACCCTGAGCAAGATGCTGACAGCACAAGCCATGCCAACCTGGCCCACACCCACCACTGTCACTTTGTTCCTGGGGGGCTCAGGGGGACCACTGAACAGTGGGGTCATCAGTTTATGCAGAATTGAGGCCATTTTCAGAGCTGAGGAGCGTAAAAAGGAAGAGAAAAGTCAGTAAGCAGATTGACTGTAGATGAGTTTAAAAAAACCCCGCTACATACAACTCAGGGAATCTGTCTTGCATCCAGAGAGCAGGCCGCAAGCTCAAACTTGATAAATAATACATTTAGAACATTGCATGTTATATTCTGAGTGTAAGGGGGTTACAAATTAAGACTGACATTTTCTTAGCAGCACTTAAGGAAGCATGACATCTAAATGTATAACAAGAAAAAAAAAAAAAGACACCACTCTGACTAATATCAGCCCCATTGAAGATCACCTTGAAAAGACACGCAGCTAGACACAGAAACAGCAATAATACTTGCAGTGTTCGGCGACGCTCCGAGCTGTGAGGTATAAATACCAACATGTAATCAGCATGGCAATCTGTAGGGATACCTAAGGTGTTTACACAGAGCTGCGTCCACCCCGCATCCACAACACCTCCCACAGACACTGACAGTTGAGGCAGGTACCGGTCTGAAGCGGTAGCACAGAGCACATGTGACTCAGGGCCAGACTGGGGAGCTGTTAGCTGCACAGAGTGCCTACTCCTCTCCCTCCTCCCCTCTTCCAAAATTGAGGACGGAGCACTATAATCGGATGCCGAACTTGACTGACTGCAGACTGTTAAAGGAGTTACTGTAATCCCTTAACGCTGCCTCCATCTGCTGCAACTGAACTACAGATGAAGATTCACCCTGAATCTAATAGGATATATCCAAATATATCAGATTACTTTTATCATATACAGTTAAATGAAGATTTCCCAGTATTCCAAGTGCAGTATAATTCACTATCCTATACTGCAGCTGTAATAATGCAACTCTTATGACAGGCAGAAATGAATTATGCATGATTAAGATGCTTTTGATTTCCAGTATACTGCACATTTGTGAATTGTTCTTCCTTGAATGCTTGCAGATATTTACACATTGCGAGGCACAATGCTGTCTTTCAAACTTCTGTGTGAGATAGAGATGACTGCTGGAAGTTTAAACTGGTGTTTGAAATGTTTATAGCACAAGACGTCAGTCCACATCTGATGATGTTCTTGTGAACTTGGAAAAATGAACTATTTCTCTGAATAAGTCTTCTCTGAAAGAGATTATCATCCCGTTGAAAGTGCATCGGGACACTTTCCTTTCATTAGCTCTGAGAGAAACGGGATTACCAAGACAAAGCGTCATGCTCTCAGAGCATCTAAACACAAGCGGTTAACAAAGATGCTTAGCCTGCAAGGTCACAAATAAAACAACAAAACAGCGACAACATTTTTAACTGAGGACATCAAGAAACGTACATTTAATCTGAGCATTGTTTTTTTTTTCTGCTTTATGACCTCTTGAATGTTTGTGTGGGACTGAGAGAGGTTAAGTCATCCTTGAACTTGAACACAGACAACATGCAGTGCAGACAGCAGATCACATATTCACTTCAATCTAAAAGCATCTTATTAACTTGAAAGTAAATTCCCTCTTGCTACTATACTGCAAGACAATGCAATGCGTGAAAAAATGACTAGGTTCTCAAACTGAATCTTAGTATTTTTGTGATGTTCGAACATCCCTTCCATCTGTCTAGGTAATTATTCAATGAGCTACAAGAACCCAGATTAAAGTGCATTTGGATTTCATTGCATTAATTATCTTCTTTAGTTTATAAATTCTCTTCTAACTTGTCTCAGTGTCCCTGCAAATTACCAGTTCAACTGGAGGCTGCTATGAGAAATGTGACATGTGTTCAGCTAATCAACTATTAAGATGCATTTCATTTGTCATTCTGCAAAAAGAGGCACCAAACTTTTACAAATAATTAAACAAATAAAGATGGATTGATTGAAATCTGTGCAAGAAATGCATGAAGCATGAGGAGCAGAACAAACAAACTGAATTGACACTGTTGTCACTTGCTGACAAAAAGTGTAAAGCATAATTTACAACAAATCGACATGTGCACAGAAAACCAAAAAACTCAAACTTCCACATAACAATAAAATGCATAGCTATTCATCTCCCACCTGGATGGTCCAGTTACTTCTGGATGTAGATTTCTTGTTCTTTCTCCAACACAACAGTAAGACTCACCCTTGTTTTGCTGTGCGCTGTGCTTTGCTCCTCTTCCTGCTGTTCTCTCAGGCTGAAGTGGACCGGGTTTAATTGGCTAAGCCTCTCCATCCCTACAAAGTCCCAGTGCGGCACTCTAAGGGTCACCTCAGTCAGCTGGTACAACATTTCACTTAAACAAGTCTTATTTCCTGTTAGATAGAACGGAAACAGGCCAAAAATGGCTCCACACATCCAATTGGTTAAGAAAAACAAAATAAATCAGGATTCATTTGATCTGTCTTTTTTTCCCCAACCCTGGGGTCCGGACCCCGTAATGGGGTTCTGATGTTGTTGAAATTAGATTTGTACATATTAACTTAAACCATGAGAACACACCTAATGGATATATAAAGGTATTTGGGTGAACAAGTGTGTGTAGGCCCATTCTGTTGAGATTTAAATCATTGAAAACAATACAAAGGATGTGAAATGCATCACTTTTTCACCACACGTGGATCCAGTGCGGGGAACAAAAACACTGCACAGCTCTGTAGAAGCATATAAGACAGACATCAGATCTCTATAAATGACACTTTCCATAATAGTCTCTATAAGAAAAGAATGAAAAATACTACGAGAACAAAAGCTTGCTAAACACTGCAGAGGGATCAAAAGTATAAAATACATCTAAGAAGGATTACTTCTAAGGTTCTGCAGATTATAACTGGTTAAAAAGTAATCAATTATGGATCTTAGCATCTTAAGGACACTGCTGAACTGCATTTCTTAAAAGGACAAGCACAAACACTTCTGAGCCAGCAGGTGGAGGCACAATCTTGGTGCATAACAACTGCAGAGACAGACATCTGAAAATGATCTCCGAGGGCAGCTACACTCTTTACTGCTAATAGTTGTGTAGTAAATAAAAACTGTTATTTGCATTAGTTAAAATAAAGAACATTTATAACTACAGGTAGCTTTGAAATAAATATTTACTTGTGTCTTTAGTTGTTTCATTTGGCCTAAGTAGGATTTCAGGCACCAAAGAAGAAAAGAAGAGACATTAAATATTATCTGTGTTTAAAGACGTTAGAATTCACTATGATCACAGGCTACACAGATGGTTATGTACACTACAATACTTGGCTCGGCAGCAACTGAGCCTCGTCAGGAATCCTTTGGAGGAGCTTCTTTAAGCTCTGACAGGAAGACAGACGATGTACTTACAGTAGGTACACTATTGAAGATAACGGCAGGTATCTACACTTTAAGGTGTATTACAGAGCGCACTGTAAGAGAATGCTAACAGAAATGTATCTTCTGGTGAAGCTTATTCAACAGAAGATTGACAGACGAGCTCGTGTTAGCCTTACCCTAAACTAGAGAATTATAATGTTCAACATGCAGGCTAGCTATTCTTACTTACTCTTAACCTGATGTGCCAATATACAGGGAAAATCATAGCGGCTTTTAAAACGGAGTCAGTGTTGTTCAGGATTAGAAATTAGAAGTCACAAAAACACAATTTAAATGAACAAAGCCTAATTGAGAAATATGTGGAGGAGCCTTTCTTGGTTGCATAATACCATATACAATTTAAATAAACGTGTACACTTATACCGTTTTCCCCACATTTGATAATGTCTGAGAGGTGCATAGAGAAGACAAAGAAAAAGCATCTGGCAACAACAAAGTTTATTTTATGATACACTTCCTACATTATCATAAATAAACAGATTACAAATCCTTACCCACATAACCCCTGTCATTTCTGTCCATTGTGGGAGAGCTGCCTGATGATAAATCACTTGAATTAAGTCAGTAATGTTCAGATTAAGATACAGTATCATTTGCATTTCATACATATTGCTTTGCTCAAATGTAACAGTAAATGTGTTATAAAAAGTTGAATGCGCCACTTTAGAAAAATATCAAAATAGAAACAAAATATGCCCCTGAAATCTTCCCACCCCCCACTTGACCTCCAGTGAATGCTAATGTCATGTTCTCCGTGTCCCCTCGCAGAGTAACCTACAGTGTCTAAATAGTGGTGATTTACATAGGCAGAAGTAGTTTCAAGTTCACAAATAATACATTTTAATTTGCTTAACTTTGAACCCATGTGTTCTTTGCAGGTCTGCCACGTCTGGACAAATGCAATCAGTGAGGTGGGCTATGTGGGTGCACTGCATCAGCCAATCCTGCATATAGGACTGAAGGATCAGAAAAAAAAATACAAAACAGAAATACAGAACAAAAAGCACAACAGAGCACTAAACTCAAAGCTTGTGAACTCAAATTGGGAACACTGGGGCTTATTCCTTATGGAATGACTTTAAAAAATGACAGCTAGTATTTAAATGTTTCTTCATTTAAAATTGAGTTTGTAAATCGATGATTCTAATAAAATAACACAAAAGTAGAGTCGCTTTCCATTCTCAACCCGTTAAATAAAATCATGATTTCAATACAGATTGACCAGAAGTGATCACTTCAGTCAACACGGAGCCACATATTGGCCCGATTTAAGCAGTGATTAGCCACTGAAGAAAAAAAGGTTTCTACCTCAAATTAACTACGGGCGGTTTGTCCTCATGCAGTGTCTACTTGCAGCTCCTACCACATCAAAAATTGGAGCTGAATTGACCTGAGCACCAGAGAAATAATGATTCATTCTACCTAACTCTATAGCTACTGAGCAAATGCTGTAATGCAGACAGAAACACGTGTAGACATTCTGGTATTAGTAGAAGCATTGCCTTGTGCTTGAAAATGGGAGGGCACTACGTGCTAACAGTGTCCAGGTACCTTACAGTCAGAAAACACCTGGCACACAGTTAGAAACTACAGAATGATCTTCATAAACTACAACCATGCACAGATAAACTGGCCTCCCTGTCTGCACTTGTTTCTACATACATGGGTTAAATACACACAAAGACACAAACAATGCACAGATTAAAAATCAACATCAAAAGAGTCTCCTCTGACTGCCACAAAACAGTGTAATCCAGAAGCTACTGTTTCCTCTTGGGGTAGGAGGGAAGCTAGAGCCCAGAGAAAAGAGAGTTTATCGTCCCAATTAAATCTGTGTTCTCTCTCCGACCATGTCAGTAAAAAGCAGAAGTGAGCCAAGTTTACTGCTTGAGTTGTGGTGTGCTGTGGCAGGCTGCAGGGAGGTGGGGCAGGCATGGCTAAAGACTGATGAGGGCATTTACTTGCTGTTGCTCTCTGTGAGAGCGCTGCTTCCGATGCCCAGGTAGGTGGCTGCATCGTTAACAAGGCCTTGTAAGGGTACGATGACCCTGTCACAGAGGCCTTTGAGGGTGTTGATTTGATCTGCATCCAGGTTCTGATAGGCATAGTAGAGAGAACCAGCCAGCACCACGAGGAGCAGGAACTTGAGCAACATAGACAGAAAGCCTCTTCGGGTTGGGGC